GGGAAAGCAATCACAATTAGCAGGCAGGAAATTCAAAGAGCATACTGCAAGTTTTGTTGTTTGGCATAAATTTTCCTGTGTCTGAGTTTTATATTGTTTTACGGGATACGCTTATTTTTATGAATCTGTTCAGTATAATGGATGGATGTTGTACTGTAATGCTAAGCCAATCTATCTGCTGAGATGGTTATGGATGGCATGATTTTCTTCTCTGTTTATTTTCAATGATGTATTTATTATTTAAACAGTATATTAGTATAAAATATTATATAAGACACCTTTCCAAAACAAAGCCAAACAGAGCTGCTTTCCAAAGCTGGCTGTGACAGATCAGATAAACTTCAGAAAGAAATAAGTGTTATGTCAGAATATTTATATAAAACAATCTCTTCTTCTCAGGTAATGAGAAACCAATTGCACTGGAAACTCTGCCACTTTTCCCCCAGGTTCCTGCACTCCTGGGACTGAGGATACTGCCAGCAGAGCTGTCAGGAAACAAGCTCAGAAATCTCTATTTCTGCAAGCTTTCAGTTATACAAACTGTAAGAATCTGAATGACTCTCCAGGTCAAGGTCTCTCTGGAGTTTACAAACAATTTCAGCTTTGAGAGTTTCTATTTCCCTGTTGGTTTATACCTACCAGAAAGGTGGAGGGGAAATGTCCCCATGTTATCTCCCAGATGCAACAGGATTGGAATTTAACAGTTTCCCTGAGCAGAGTTTTTCTGGTGGTACACGTCATGCCTCAGGCCTGACCCTTCTGTGGTGTGGCCAGGGGCAGAAAGTGGAGAAATAAACTGATTCATGTCCCACTGCAGGCAGAGCAGAAGTCCTTGTCGTGGGGAAAGGATGAAGAAAGCCCATTCTGTGCCTTTGAGGGAGTCATCACATTGGCTTTTGTATCACTGTGTGCAACAGGGAAGCTTCAAGAAAGTTCAACACATCAAGTGACATGTGTCTTGAGAGCACTAGAAGGGCCATGCTGCGCTCCTGGGGTGGGGACCGAGAGCTGCACGTGCTCTTGGGTCTGAGTCACGTCAGGCTGTTAACTATGGCAAAGTTATGGATTCAAAACCAACACACGTTTCCAGAGCTGGGCAGAAAACCTCAATGGAACCAGAAAGAGGCAAAACCAACCCCATTAACTGACTCTAACCATTGCTCCTTCAGCTATGGCTAGGGATGCGTGTAGCTGGGCCACTGTTGTTAGGTTGTAATTGTAAATGAGTTTTTAATGGCTGACCAATAATGGGAAATCTGCTTCCTCCTTGCTAGGAGCAAGGAGTGTTCCTCAAGAAGGCCAAACAGCCCATTGGTTCAGTTTCAGAAAGGCTTATAGCATGCCCATTGGTACAGATACCCAGATGTGGGGCCACCTGGGGCTCATTACACTTTTGGGTTAGGTGCTGACGCTTACAGGGGACTCACCTGAACTCCCAGGATCCCAAAGATTATGAAAAAGGCACAGCAGATGACCACGATGTTCCCAATGGGCTTCAGGGATGACATGAGAGTCTCCACCACCAGCTTCAGTCCTTGGGCTCGGCTAATGACTCTGCAGGGGCAAGTAAGCACAAAAGCTATGTTAATCCTGTTCTTGCCCAGTTCTGCCTCCTATCAAGATAGAAGATGTGGAGAAAATAGCATTAGGGAATTTTTTAGAATGGCAAATAACTCAAAAATCATGATGGAAGAAGCAGTTCTGGAAGGTTGACCTGTGAGATTATGGAGGTGTTTGAGGGAAAGGGGTCTCTGCCTACACAGACAGCTTTGCATAAAAGAGGAGGAGGAGACCACACATGAGGAGCCAGGCCAGAAATGTCACTGGAAAAGGACCTAGGAAAGGAAGATATATAGGTTAGCCCCATATTTTTCAAACTTGGAATGATGGTTTCAATCTAACCCACTACCTATTCTTGATCTATTTGCTGATCAGCATCTTCTAGTTACCATTCACTGTAATATATTCAAGCCTTGGCATTTTCCTTTTCCCATCATTTGGTCCAAAGAGCTCTCCAGGTTTCCAGCGTTGATCACACCTTCCCTGGGATCCAGCCTCTTGGTTTGGGCCATCCACAGACACACACCTTTATGCCTGTACCCTGTCCAGAACTGCAAAAGGATGGCCTCCCAGTGTCCGTTCCTATGCAGTTTTAGGCAAGCAAGGCTCTTGATTTCTCTGTCCCAGTCTGTGAAAAGGAGCAGCCACTCTTACACAGCTGCCTGCAGATCTGTAGTGAGCACAGAATCATAGAATGTTTTGGGTTGGAAGGGGCCTTTAAAGGTCATCTAGTTCAACCCGCCTGCAATGAGCAGGGACATCTTCAACCAGATCAGGTTGCTCAAAGCCCCGTCCAGCCTGACCTTGAATATTTCCAGGGGTGGGGCATCTACAACCTCTCTGGGCAACTTGTTCCAGTGCTTCACCACACTTATAATAAAAAAACTGTACGTGTCCTTCTAGTGCTGCTGTGTACAGAGACCTGAGCTACCCCTCAGTACTATCGCAGTCACCGCTCTATACCCACTGTACATCCTCAGCTCCTCAACCAGTGATGTCACCCAGGTGAAACTTCACCAGCAGGACCACAGGCATCTAACCTTATTTCTGTAGCTCCTCTCCGTCTGGTACTGCACAGAATTTCATAACAGAGGATTAGATCATATGGGAAGGTTGGGGAAGAGTAATGTGGACATCATGACTGAAGCAGGTAAAAAAAAGAAAAGAAGAAATTATACTATAATCTCAAGGACAATACTACAATGAAAGGACAAGGCTTGTGTGATTTAGAGAAGCCATTTCACTGTGCAGGGCAAGATGAATGAGGTATTCGGGCTCACAGTCCTGAACGTGGAGAGCTGGGGGACCAAGAAAGGCATCTGGAGAGGCTGCATGCCTCCCTCCTCCTGATGCCAACTGGAATTAAGCATTTCCCTAGTTCTGTAAATCAATTTGTACTGATGCCATAGAAACTGTGCTTTCCCAAGGCAGAAATAGCTGTCCGCTGTGTAAGTCGGAGGGAGGGAAGCACCTGTGTACTGCTGGGTACTGGCTGGTGACTCCTTTGAACACTTGGCACTCAAAAGTGCCACAGACTTCCCCACCTTCTTGTTTCTGCCTGGTTCTCTCTTTTGCCGTGGGAGTCCTCTCACTGCCTCTCCCATTTCGCCCCAAGTCTGGCTGTACCACCTGAAGCACAGCTTGGAGTTTTGTTGCCTGGAGAGAATCCAAGTTCTCCTCCTCTCTCCCTGCTCCTGGGCTATGGTGCTCCCAGTAGAGGTCCCCATGGACACATCCACATGCCCAACATGCGTGGCCTTAGCTGGGACCCAGCCAAGCCTGCACCAACCCTCTCCTGCCCCAGAGCCAACAGGTTTAGTAAACTGCAGAGCTCAGTGCACAGCCACCAGGTCTTTCAAAAACTGTTGGCTTTAAACAGTATCCTGAAAAGCTGAAAATTATTTCCCTTTTTTCTGGTTAAATATTTATTCAAAATATCAAGGGTAACTCATCAATTATAATTTTAAAAAAGAAACAGGTGGTGGTATTTTTATCCACTCCCTTGCCAGTGAAAAACAAAAGGCAGATGCTGCTATTCCTCACCCTGGGTGTCTCTTCCAGGTAGCTGCTGTGGCTCCCTATTTTGGACACCTCAGCTTTCCTGATGCTCAGATCTGGGTTATTTTAGGGAATGAGCTGGGGGGTGAGACAGTGCAGGGAGCAGAAGGTTACACAAGGCTGAGATGCCCCAGGGGATGGCGTGGACCCCATGCAACTGTGGCAGCGTGGAGACTGGTTGGTGTGGGCTGCCAAAACTGCCCACATGAATTAGCCCACGCTGAGGTCCTCGGTGGGTCAGCTACGCTGCTGCTGTCACATTGTACTAGCACTGATGCCGAGAGCTGAGCTGAGGCCAGGTAGCAGAGGAGGCTGGATGGCAGGTCAGTGTGTCCAACCCAATGAGCTGGTTACTCCAGCCTAACAGGCAGTGTCCACAGGGCAAGGGTTCTTGCCACTCCATCTGAGTGCACAAAGCAAGCATGGGGCCAGACAGTCTAAGGCTGAATCCTTCTGGATCCTCAGATGGCCTAAAGACCTCACCATCCCTCACCTGTTACCCTCACACAGTCCTTGGTAAAATACTACAACTGCCAAACTACAGATGGGAAGCTGAGGCATGGGGGGACCACAAGCCTTCTTAGAGGTATGCAAGCAACTCATTTCCAATGATTTTGATGGAAATTAGGTACTTTGGTGCCTTTAGGGATCTTGACTTAGGTCTATTCTGGCTGCTGTCACACAGGATGGAACTGTAGTCATGTCTTCTAAACTGAAGGCTTGTGGTCTAAACTAGTGGAGCATCCTTAAATTTGGGGGAACAAGGAAGAAATTTAGTCTCCAGAGTCTAAAGCTGATGATTTTCTCCAACACTTATTAAGAAAGCCTATTCTAGAAATAATAAAGTGATTTCCCTTGTGAGATACTATTTGGTATCCAGCAGAGAGAGAAAATAGAGGGAGAGGGAGGTTACTCGTCTGACTTCATGAAGTCATGTGTGTTGAGAAAAAAAGGTCTGAGAAACTGCAGCATTTGGCTGCTTTCAGAGTTTTGATCAACCAGGGAATTCCTCAAATGAGAATGCATGAGGGTAAAAGCTGCCACCAGTTTAGCTCCACGCCAGTGCTGTTTCCAGCCCTACAGGGAGAGAAGACTTTGAAAAGATTTTGAAAAATAATAGTTCTTACTAATGAAAACCTTCAGACCTTGGAGCTGCCTCAAACTAAGGGCCTGATCCAATGCCAAGGCAAGTCTGTGCATAGACTCCTGCTGCTCTCCTGAGAGTCTGATAACTCCGTAATAAGTGCCAATGAAATTCTCAGCATTTCCAGATTATTAGTGTCATCTCCAATATGTCAACATACAGCATCCCCGCGCCTCATCAATATTGCCCAAGGTCCTGCTGATATCAGGCTTGTAAAGCCATATTATCTGACCCACCACTTCTGCAATTTATCACTGAAGGATACAGCTGATTTGGAGCCCTCTGGGCATGCCAGAGCCATAGACCCGCTGAGGTTGCATTCAGGACAATTCCAGTCTGCATTAGGCATATGACAAATGGGGAAATTGAAATGAGACCTTTTGGGTTTTTCCCCCCCAATGTGAAGAAACATTAATCCCTCAAGTTCCTCCTGGTTCTGCTGGTTTTGGCATTCCCAATGCTGTTAAACCCCTGGTGCGAGACGCTCCAAACCCACTGCCAGGCTCACCCCAGCTGGATCACATTTACTAACGTTAAGCCTGCTAGTCTGATCAGAGCTCTCAGAAGAAGTAGCACTCAGATGAAGTAGCAGATCAACATTAATGAAGACCTTCCTCCACAGATTAAAAAAAAAAAATTAGCTAAGGTGATAATATGATAAAGAGAGTCTATGAAATGACTATTTCATACTGCAATGGTATGAAAAGTGAATAATTTATCCATCTGCTCTGGAAGTCAAAGCCCAGGCTCTGTAGAGAGTAAAACAGCACTGAAGTCCATCCACGTTAATTCTGAATACATTTTCAATTTTGATTTCTCTTGTATCTTAAGCTACAACGCTTGATCCCAACAACAGCAGGTTGAATACATTAGGAAGGAATTTTATTGTATAAGCAATCCCTCTACTGGCTGAAACATCAGAAGGTCATGGAAACATCTTTAAATGTCACTCCTTTGTGAATATATTTTTGGAATTCTGGTCATAAAGCTGGGCTCGAATCCTCATGGATTCAATTTGGAGGCTGATAATCAATCATGCAATCAAAAGCCCACGATTGGCACACAGACCAGTTTTTTTAATGCCTGTGCAAAAGGCACAAGCATGCGTGGTTTTGTGTGCCACGTAAAGCAACAGAATTGTTTTCACAGAAGAAAGTAAGAGACAGAATGAGGGAGGTCTTTTGCAAGAACCCCTTCAGACCATCAACCAGGAAAGCCAATGCAGAGATGATGAGGGCTGTCCCTGCCCTCGAGTTGAGTGTGACATGCACAGCTGTGGCTTGGCTTCTCACTGAGGGTGTCCTCCCTGCAGCCCTGTCCCCGAGTGCCCACAGAAAGGCAGGACAGAAGGAGCCAGGTTAGCTCGTCTGTGGTGGGGATGGAGCATTCACTTTGGGCTCTGCCCTATGCCTTCCTGGAAAGGAAAAACTGGCTCAGTCTCCACTGGGGACTTCACCCAGACACAGGGATTGGAGCCACAGTGCACAAAGACCTCAGGTCGCCTGTCCCAGCTGTCATCCCATGTTGGTCCAGCTGAACATCCCGGGCAGATCTCCGAGCCACGTGGCGCAGCCCGCAGCAAAGGCAGAGCGGGCAGCTATGGGCAGAGGCGTGCTCAGGGCAGCCCAGATGTGCATCACAGAGGCAGATGGGTTCCCACATGTGGAGATTTATGACTTACTGAAAAGCGCCCAGTTTGATGGCTGCTTTTTCATTTCCTACAAATCTAATTACAGGGGAATAGAACTGATTGTGAACATATTTAGGGAATGGGCTTGTTGCTGACTTTTTACATTTCCTTTGTAGTAGAAAGCAGTATGTTGGCTGAAAACACTCATACGCTCTCTTGAGAAAACATATCAAATGCCAACAGGAATGGAATAGCAATGGAAGAGCCTAATCCTGCACATGCTCCAGATGGCAGGTCTTCCTCCAGCCTGCAGTTACTCAGTGGATTGTTCCCCATAACCGCAGAGTACTCATGCAACATAGGTGACTGCAGAGAAAGGCTCTAGTAAACGAAGACCGAGGTCCTGGCCAGGCAGACCTATAGATCTACAAAGCAGCACACAGGGCTTTTACCAGGTCAGACAGGTGACTAGCAGGGCTCATCACAACCCAAGCTTCTTCCTCTAGATCCAATTGAACCACACCACCTCAAAAGAGAAACTTGCATTCCACAGTTCAGAGATGGGAAATCGATCCATCTTTTACCCAGAGCTATCCAGATTATTTTGTAGATTTTCTTAACATGGATCAAAAATCAGCCAAAACAGAAGAGCAGAGATCTACCAAACCAGCAACCTGGCAGCAACTGTCCCTAGAAATTACAGTTGACATGGAGATGCTGGGGGACACATGAAGAGAAAAAAAGCCTTAATCGGAGTCATGTAGGAAGGCAGTCTAGTCATATGGTCAAGGAGTTGGACCACACCAATGGCACTATCTGTCCAGATAAAAATGATTAAAGCAGCTCACATCCTAAAACTCACCAGGCACAACATACACATAGCCCAATGTAACAGAATGTCTTTCATAGCTGTTGAGAATATTTGAAAGATATACATATAGGCACAGCCATTGTTATTTAGACTTATTATTCACACAAGGGTGGTAAAACAACATCTTCTGTCAGAAGCAGGGCCCTATTTTTCTGTCCTGAAAGAGAAAATCCTGACTCAAAGTGAACCTTTTATGAAGGAAGCAGCAGTAAGATATGACAGGCACACAAAGATGCTTTGAGCAGGAAGGTTTATTAGCTGCTGCATAACAAGAGCAGCAACAATGGTATTAAAGAGGGACTGCATTGAGCATGGAGAGAAACCTTCATGCCTTGGGGTACAGGACAAAACAGATGCCTGTTTGGAAGAGGCTGGTCCTTGGGCAGGTTCTTGTCAGAGGGATGCCTGCCCCTGGAGCATGGGATACTGCGTGCTGTCAGAGATGGGGGACCAAGTTAGTAGGAAAATTGCTTTCATCTTGTCTGGGCAATTTTCAAAATAAATGTCTCTGTAAAATTAATGGGGAACTGAGGGGAAAAAAAAGCTTCTTTGCATTCTAGGCTAAGCAACAGTTTAGTCTCTGCTTCCTTAAAAATGATCTGCCACCTGCTACTAATTTCCTTCTTTGTTACAAAAACCACTGACTGCCTGAAGGAAAGGGGGAGAAGAAGCTGTTAAGCTGCACTTTACACAGAGCAAATGAGAACACAAATAGCAGGGGATGTGTGTTTTAATGAGCAAAAGAGGCATTGATCAGTTTACTACTGTACTTGGGGCTGGTCCCAAAACACAGCAAGCGCCCGGAGTTCCTTGCAGCTCTGCAGGACCTGCGGACGTTCATTGTCTGTGGAGCAGCAGGAGGCTGGGCACGACGCTGGTGACAGACAACATGCCCTTGTCTCGGCTGTCCCTTCCCTTGCACGAATGCTGCTGCTTGCGGGAGAGGCTCAGCTCCCCCTTCGCACACACACCCTACGCTCTTTTAGGTCTTCCTCATCCTCTGCTTACCTTAAGGGACGCAGCGTTCTCAGCAGTCTCAAAACCCGTAGCATCCCCAGGATTTTTGTGCCGCTGTCTGACACCATTGAGACCAGGATGTCGATGACGGAGATGAGAACCAGCACCCCATCCAGCACGTTCCAGCTGCTTTTCAAGTAGGCTTTCTCCCCAAAACACAAGCCTAGTGCCACCACCTGCCCAGACACCAAGTTGCAACAAGTTATGACTATCGCATCCAATATGTTTCTTCCAGTTAGCAACCTGCTGAGAATGCATTATTTACAGATACAAGTCTGTGAGTCCATTTGCTTCCCAACTTAGAAGCCTAATTAGACAAATCAGCAAAGTGTTATATTGCACGAATTGTAAAAATACCTCTGCAGAAACATCCCAGATTGTCCCTTACAGCTGATATATTTTTAATGCAGCTAAACCTAGCTGCACAAAACTGTTCCTAACATGTTTAGCTCTGGCATAAAAAGGTTGATCGTATTTTATTCCTACAGACTGCTGGAGTAAAGGTTCAGAGTGGCTGACCCAAAGCAATCATTTACAAGCTTTGCAAATAAAGAAACTAGAGAAACTTTCCAAAGAAAGACCAATTGTTCTGCAAGATGTTTATAAATTACACAAGAGAGATTTACAGCAATGGGTTTCTGAGCCTCCCGCCTCAAATCCAGCAAAATGTTTCAATGTGCTTAAGTCTCTCCCTCCTCAGGAAAGCACATAGCTGCTTAGGTTGTTGAGGACAATTGGTCGTTGAAGACAATGGGACTTACATGCATGGTTGAAGTTAAGCATGAGTTCAAGAGCTTTGCTGAATAGGGAAGGATTGCTGAATTGAAGCATCCCATTGCTCATATAATGGTGTAAATCAACAGCAACTTCAGTGAAATTGTTCTGATGTAAAACGTGCTCAGAACAAGGCATGTGGTGGGTATTTGAATATGATTTAGAAGAGGAAAACATACACCTCGCTCATAGCTGGTAGACCTAGTGGTTTTGCGAGTCCACCAAAATAAAATATCACTAATATAAACAGGCACACTTATCCACCAGCTACATTTACCTTAACTGTCATCTCAGTCAGGAAGATAACTGTAAAGATGTAGTTGGAGAGCGTTAGGAAAATCCGTTCCTATTAAAAAAAAAAAAAAAAAAAAAGAAAGAGACAATGTTTTATAGGCTGCTCTCTGCAGCTGTACATCTCCCTGTGCGTATTTGGGTGGTTGCTAACTGTTCTCCAGCTTCTGTGCTGAAATAAGACTCGGACTGTTTGCTCAAAAAGAGGGGAAAATCCAAATATTTAGACAGTAACACTGCGCACGGTTCA